GAATTCCTGGCTCCTGGCTTCGGATTGGCTTGGCTCCAGCCGTTGTGGTCACTTGGGGAGTGAATCATTGGATGGAAGATATTCCTCTTTGTCTCTTCTCCTCTCTGTAAATCTGCCTTTCCAGTAAAAATAATAAAAAATAAATCTTTTCATAAAAAATGAATCTTTAAAAAAGGTTTATTTATTTGAAAGAGGGACAGAAAGAGAGGCAGAGACAGAGTCAGATCTTCCACATGCAGGTTCACTTCCCAAATGCTCACAGCAGCCAGGGCTGGGCCAGGCCGAATCCAGGAGCCTGGAGCCCCATCCAGATCTCCTAAATGGAAGGCAGGGCCCAAGGCATTAGGCCTTCTTTGCTTTCCCAGGTATGTAAGTAGGGACCTGGATGGGAAGTGAAGCAGCCTGAACTCAAACTGGTATCCATACAGGATGCCAGTGTCTCACTACGCCCCAATACCTGTATGTTTGTCCAAATGGTAGGAACTAGCACCTACCCTTTACAAAGGACTAAGGGTGCTGAATCATTGCTTTGTGCAGTTTCTTGGTCATCATCATGAGTCCCTGGGGGTGGGGCTCCTGTGCCCATGTCTGTGAGTCTTGGAGAGATATTTGAATGGCCAAGAATTTAACTCAGGCCATGTAATTTCAAAGCCTAGGCGCCAAGCACACTGCTGGCTGACTCCTGGGGCTGACCCAGAAGTAGCTAGACATGCCCAGGAGTGCTAATTTTAGATCCTTAGAGTTGGGGTTGGCTTATGTGCTGGAGGATAATTATAGCTGCCAAAGGGTGCTTGGAAATAACCCCAAGTGAGGGGTGGTTTCTGGGCACAGGGGCTATAGGGTATTACAGAAGGAGCCTGAGGCTCAGAGGTGTGTGCTCAAGCCCAGTTCACCACCTTTTCATTCTGGCATTGGATGTATGATTTCTCCAGGGCCTCTGGGCAGAGGCAGGCGCATGCGTGAACTGCCGGCTCAGGGGCTTTTTATGGTGTGTGAGCGAGTGGCTCAGGGGCTGTGTTTTCTTGTGTGTGAGCTGGTGGCTCGGCTTGGGGGAGGCTGTGTTAACACGCATGCGTGTGAGCTGCTGGCTGGGTCACTGTGTTTATGCGGCTCAGGGGCTGTGTTTGTCACCAGGTCACTCTCATCCACTCCCAAGTACCCCTGGCTGACAAGGAGCTCCTGCCCTGTGTGCGGCAGGAAGTGAAGGAGATCCTCCTGCGGAAGGGCGTGCAGCTGCTGCTGGGTATGTGAAGCCCACCTGCCCCTACCTACCTGGCCAGAGACGAGGCTGAGCCAGGAACCTGCCTCTGGCTAGCCAGGTCCTGCTCTGTCTCAGCGTGGGGACCCCAGACACCCCAAAGGGTCTTGAGCAATGTCCTGGCTGGTGTGTACATGTTAAAATTTTGCCTCATTTTATTTGCATGGCAGAGAGAGAGAAAGATCATCCACCTGCTGGTTTACTTTCTAAATTCCTATACCAGCCAGGACTGTGGCCAGACTGAAGCCAAGAGCCCAGAATTGAACCTGGGTCTCCCGTGTGGGTGGTGGGGACCCAGGGGTTTGAGCCCTCCTCCATTACCTCCTGTGAGCAGAAAGATGGATGGGGAGTGGAGCAGCTGGGACTCTGAAGCAGAACTTAGATGTGGGTGTCCCGCTGGGCCACAGAGCCTTCCTCTGCCTTTGCCTCTCTGGGGGCACTTAGGGCCTTGTTCTGGGGGTGTGCGTGTGTCGGGGGGGACACAAGGTTCCTGATCCTCTGAGAGCTGCCTTGAACAGCTTTGTTCAGAACTTCTGGAAGCTCAACCACACTCTCCTCCCGTGGGGTACCAGGAGCTGGAAGTCAGATAGATGATTCCTGGTGCAGCAGAGTGGACTGTGGGAGCCACTGTGGGAAGATAGGGTGGAGTAATGGCCTTGTTGGACCATAGCAGTCTAGGTGTGGCATGGGCTCCAGCGTTGATGAAGTTCCCGCCCTCTGTTGACCTTCTTGTCATGGAATCCCTCCACAGGGGAGCGTGTGAGCAACCTGGAGGAGCTGCCGCTCAACGAGTACCGGGAGTACATCAAGGTGCAGACGGACAAGGGCACGGAGGTAGCTACCAACCTGGTCATTCTCTGCAACGGCATCAAGATCAACAGCTCTGCCTACCACAGTGCCTTGGGTAAGCAGGTGGCCTGGCCCACTTCTCCAGGTAGAGAGTACATAAGTGGGAGGCTGAAATCAAAGCAGAGGAGCGGTATTCAAGCCAGTCCCCTGATATGTATGGGATGCAGGCATCCCAAAGCTACGGCTTAACCTGCTGTGCCACAGTGCCCACCCCATAAGTGGCATCTTAACCTCTGTGCCACCTGCTAGCTCAGAGGGTTGCCTCTTGAGCGTGTGCCTCTGGAAGGTGATTTGACTAACCCTGGGGCTGGTTTCTGGCTGGTTTTGGGGGTAACTTGACTGCCCCCAAGGCGGGTCCCAACTGGCTTCTGTGGTGTTGAGCCTGGTGTCCTGTGTGGTGTGGCCCGGCAGAGAACAGACTGGCCAGCAACGGCGCCCTGAGAGTGAATGAGCACCTGCAGGTGGAGGGCTGCAGCAATGTCTATGCCATCGGCGACTGTGCCGACGTGAAGGAGCCCAAGATGGCCTACCATGCCGGCCTCCACGCCAATGTCGCCGTGGCCAACATTGTCAACTCCATCAAGCAGAGACCCCTCAAGACCTACAAGCCAGGTAAGGAGGGCACTTCCTGTGCCTTGCAGTTATGTTTTTAAACCTCTCATTTATTTTCATTTGATTTGAAAGAGAGGGAGAGAGATGGGCTGCTTTGCTCCACCTACCTGTTTTGTTCCCCAGATGTTCACAACAGCTGGGGCTGGGCCAGGCCAAAGCCTGATATTCCAAATGTGTTTCCCCTGGGGTGTGGCTGTGGGGGGCAGGGGCCCAAGTATTTGAGCTGTTTACCTGTCGCCTCCCGGGTGTGTAGCAGCAGGACCTTGGCTCAGAAGTGGACGCGGATTCTGTCCCAGGGACTTTGATATGGGATGCAGGGGGTCCCAAGAGGAGTGTGTGTGTGTGTGTGTGTGTGTTCATGTGCATGCTTGCGTCTGTTCCACAGGGGCGCTGACGTTCCTCCTGTCCATGGGAAGAAATGACGGCGTGGGCCAGATCAGTGGCTTCTATGTGGGTCGGCTCATGGTCCGGCTCGCCAAGAGCCGGGACCTGTTCGTGTCCACCAGTTGGAAAACCATGAAGCAGTCCCCACCCTGACGGAGGAGCTGGGTAAAAAGACCATCTAACTGAGGGTGGCTGGCCAAGGGCCCTGGAGTTAAGACCGGCCAGTGATGTACTGATCGGAAGCACTGCTATGTCAAAGCAAAAATGAGAGAGTGCGTGATTAAAAAGCTGAGATTCTGCCTGGATCCTGTCTGGGTCTCCAAGGTCTGCTTGCAGCAGTACTGGGCCCTCGGCTTTTTTGTGTTGGGTGAGTGGTCCTGGGGAAGGCACAATGACCTGTGGTGAGTCCTCTGGGATGTGTGTGCACACATGTGTGTGCAGGTCCTGCAGGATGCTCAAAGCTGAGCTAAGAGCTAGGCTACTAGGGGGCTGGCCTCCTGTCTGTAAAGACAGGCAGGAGAGCCTGCAGCATGAGACAGCTGTGGGAGGGGAGGCAGGGCTGGCCCACATCGCAGCCCTCTCCCATGACATGGGTGCTGGGGGGATGGACTGGGAAGCCTGGCTATGACTAGGAGACTCAAATCTAACCTGCCTGCCTTGTGGCTGGTCCCTATAAACTGTCATCTCTACAAACCCTCCTATATTTGCATTTTCATATCCTGACAGTGTGCCATAAGAAAGAGTTAGAATTCTGGTCAACCCGACCTAGCCAAGAGTGGGTTCAGACAAAGCAACAGGTGGAGGTGCAGCAAGCAGGGGTTGGGCGCCTTTGGTCGGGAGCTCACCTGCTTCACCTTCAGGGAGCTGGGGATGTTCAGTAGGGGCCTCTCACTACCCTCTTGGGTGACAAAACTCCAACAGACACCAGTTTTTTGGCCAGTCCCAGGGTCAGGTGGCTCAGAGTCATCTTCAGTGACGCTGAGGTGGCAACTGTACATGGTGGGGAGGGGTGGGGGTTGCTCTGAGAGACAGAGGGGCTGTCTTGCACCCCATCTATGTGGATGAACTGTAGAGTGTTGGGTGAGTTTACTGAATGGATTAGGTTCCTGGCTCCTGGCCCTGCCTTTCCCTACTCACTTCTGATGCTGGCATGAATCTACACGCCTTGGAGAGAGGGTGGAGTTGTCTCAGTCTGTTCCTTTGCTTGGGTTGTGGCTCAGGGTTTGCTCCATTTGGCCGTCAGGCCAGAGCAAACCCCATGTCTATCTCCCATGGTCACTGCCGGCCTTGACCTTCCCAGATGCAGGGCCGTGGCCTGGGAGATGCAAGTTGTGCCACTGCAGCCCCACAGAAACAGGCCTTGCTGTATTCACTTAGAACTTTCTGGAAGGATCCACCTGCAGGAACACAGTTGTCTGCATTGAGGGAAATGGTTGCAATAAAAGAATTGGTTGTAAGAAAGACACTGGATCTTTTATTTTTTTTTTCTTTGCTTTTCTTTTTTCTTTAAAAAACAAAACAAAACAAAACAAAACCCTCCCCCAAAAAAGCCTGAAGCAAAACCTTCTGGGAGTAGTTACAGAGGGTGGCGGGTGGATGGGGAGGTGTGTGGGGGGGTGGATACCAGCCAGGAGCCTTTCCCAGCCTGGTCACCTTCACGCCCTCATCCCTTGAACCAAGAAGGAGCAGGAGATCCAAGAATCTCGATGCATTTTCATGTGAGTGTGTGTAAAAGTCAATGCTAGAAATCTAAAATGAGATTTTTTTTTTCTTAAAAAGTTCTAAAACAACAGGAAGAAAACATAGGGATCCTAGCCCATGTGGAGAGCTGCTTAGCTAGGGACTGAGAATAGAAAATGTGGCTTGCTGGCTGTCCTTCCAGCTGCCCTCCCCACTTCCGGCACCCTTCCCCTCTCCCTTTTAAAAAATAACCCCCTGCTCTGGCACCCTCAGGCCTCCTGGTACTGCCCAGCTCTGGCAGCCACCCGGCTACTTGGCATCAAGCTTAGCCATCTCCTGCACGTAGATGCCGATGCTCTCGCTGTCAAACAGCAGGAAGTACACGTTCTTGAGCGAGGAAGCGCCCGAGTCATCGAAGTGAGCCGAGATGGCCTTCAGGGTCACCTGGGCTGCCGTCTGTTTGGGGAAGCAGTTTCTGTGCCAAAGCAGAAAAGCAAGGTTAATGTCATTTTAGTCCCTTCTCTCGGCTTGCTTCCTTTTGGTCCTGTTTTCCCTGCACAGGGTTGGGGAGTGGGGCCACCGTGGGCAGGGCTTGGGCAAGTGGGGGATGCTGGTCCCACCCTGGGGTGCAACACTGAGCTGGAGAAATGGAATGACTGTGGCCAAGATAGGCAGTATTCTGGAATCGAGATTTTCAAACAGCTCACAGGTGATGAACAAATTATGAATAGGTCTCAGCATTTTTTTAATGTACCCAAACATATTTCTTTTTATCAGATTTTTTTTTCCCAGAAACTTTTTGAGGTATGTTAGTATTTGAGTCAGTATTACCTGGCTGGAGTTGAGCAGGGCTTTATAATATGTGGGCCTGCTCCCTCTTCCCGCCACCTCTGCTAGCTCCCCTCCCCAGTAAGCAGAGGCCCATGGGCTGCCTCATAAGGTGGTGTGTGCTAACCAGGCCATTTCTTCAAGAATAAGAAGCTTGCCTGCATAGTCCCTCTTGCAAACACCTCGGAGTTCTCTTCTGCTTGCATGGGCAGCTATGGCTCTGAGTAGGCTTAGGCTGGGCTGGGGTGAATTGGCTCAGGGTCTCAGTGCCAGTGAGCTATTGATAGTGCTAAGTCATGGCAGTAGCCTGGGGGACATGGCCACTGGGGTCCCTTGAGACCCTCAGGGTAGATCTTCTCATGCCATGTGTGCTGGGGTGGCAGATACCTGGCAGTGCTGGCTGAGGTTCCTCACAGCAGGAAGTGAGGCCCTGTGAAGGCTTTCCGGAACCTACCTGAGTTACAGAGGGGCCTCTCCTGATGAATGAAAGCAGGAAGTTGCCAGCCTGGGAACATGGAGCCGGAGGGCACACTGCACAGGAGAGCGGGTTCTCCCCACTCATCTGCAGTCTTGCCTTCCCCTGACCCCTTTTAAGCCAGCCCTCAGGGAGAGCTTTTCACTTAGGCTGTGGTGGTCCCTGAGATGGGGGCAGGTGAGCAGGTGAAGGGTGGAGCATGTTCTCTTTATGTGAGAGTCTGTGCTTTCCGCAAGTGAGATTGCTTGCTACCTCTGCTGGTCGCTAGACCATAGGTGGAGCAGCAGTGTTCTGGGACGTGGTGTCTTGCAGTCATGTGTCCTAGACGTAGCCGCAGGTGGACCTGTACGATTTGAGCTCGGGGGCTGCCTTTCTCTCTGCTGCCTCCCACTCCCCACTATCCAGGCTACCTTTCTCCCCAGAGCTTTAATATCCAGGTGGTCATGGGAGACCTGCGCCCCTTGAACTGGTGAGCCTGTTTCTCCACGTGTGGTGAAGGATGGAAACGAGTTTTCCTGTCCCATCCCCTGTTCTAAGCATGCAGCTGCGCGGGCAGTGCTTGGTCAGGACCTCTGGCTTGGATGTGAGTGAATGAGTCTGGGTCGGGTGATGCTCCCCAGGAGAAGGCTGCGGGGAGACAGGAGTCTTACCTGCCACTGGGGAAAGGTGGGAATGCCACGGACTTGAGCTTTTTGTCCTCGGCGGCTGACAGGCAGTTTTTGATGGTCTCTTCTAGCTGTTCTTCACACTTGTCGGAGCCCCACTGCGGGATGTGACAGTGGATGACAAACTTGGCTGCGAGTCCACTGGACTGGCTCACGGCAGCTGGGATGCAGGGAGAGAGAAATGCTGCAGATTATTGCCTTAAGTCGTGGCCCTGTGCTGGGGCTTGGCTGGACCCAAGAGGTCTACTACGTGTTAGCTCCTGGGGGATAAGGAAGTCATGCAGGGCTGGTGACCCTGGAGAGAGAGAAGGTGGGACTGCTGCCTAGCTCCATACTCACCTTCAGCCACTTCCAGAGGGCCCTGGGATTTGCGAAGCTCCTTTACTGTTTCCAAGAACTCTTTTCCCCCAGCCTTTTCCAAGGCTTTACCTGCAAAGGAGAACCATGCATAGCAAACTATTGGGACTGTAATTCCAATGCTATTCTACTGCTTGACATAGTATTAGCAGGCAGAGATGGGATGGCCTGGGCATCCTTAGAAACTGGCTGCCTTGCCAGGAGTCCCCTGTGGCACAGGGCTCTGGGCCTCTGCCCAGCATCCTCCTGTGTATATATTTACTTATTTAAATGCATATTTGTTTATTGGAGCTGGCATTGTGGCACAGCGAGTAAAGCTGATGTCTATGTTGCTGACATTCCAGATGGGTGTGCCAGATCCTGTCCTGGCTGCTCCACTTCCATTCCACCTTCCTGCTAATGCTTCTGGAAAGGCAGTGGGTGATAGCTCAAGTACTTGAGCCGCTGCTAACCCTGCTGGGTTACCAGACTCCTGGCTCTAGTCTGGCCCATCCCTGGCTGTTGTGGCCATTTGGAGAGCAAATAATGGAAGAGCTCTCTCTTTTCTTTTTCTTTTTAAGATTTATTTATTTTTATTGGAAAGTCAGATAAATGGAGAGGAAGAGCTTCCATATGCTGATTTACTCCCTGTGTGGCCGCAACGGCTGGAGTCGAGCCAATCCAAAGCCAGGAGCCAAGAGCTTCTTCTGGGTCTCCCACATGGGTGCGGGGTCCCAAGACTTTGGGATGTCTGTTTTCAGGCAACAGGCAGGGAGTTAGATGGAAAGCAGGGCTGCCGGTACATGAACCAGTGCCCATGTAGGTTCCTGGCAGATGAAAGGCAAGGACTTTTGTCACTCTGCTACTGTGCTGGGTCCCTCTCTCTTTTTCTATTACTTTCCCTTTCAAATAAATAAGTAAAGTTAAAAAAAATGAATTGACATTTATGGAGCTGGAATTTAATGCTGGATATTTGTTGCTATTAATTTTTTTAGATATGATAATGGGATTATGGTTATGGGTTTAAAAATAATCATTACTCAGGGCCTGGCACAATAGTGTAGCACCTAAAGTCCTCGCCTTGAATGTGCCAGGATCCCATATGGCCACCGGTTCTAATCCCAGCAGTCCCGCTTCCCATCCAGCTCCCTGCTTGTGGCCTGGGAAAGCAGTTGAGGATGGCCCAAAACCTTGGAACCCTGCACCTTTGTGGGAGACCCAGAAGAGCTCCTGGCTCCTGGCTTTGGATTAGCTCAGCTCCAGCCGTTGCGGCCACTTAGGGAGTAAACCACTGGATGGAAGATCTTCCTCTCTGTCTCTCCTCCTCTCTGTAAATCTGCCTTTCCAATAAAAATAAATAACTCTTAAAAAAAAATCATTACTGGGGCTAGTGTGATGGCATAGCCAAAATTAAGCCTCCATTAAGTGTTGGCATTCCACATAGGCATTAGTTCGAGCTCTGTAAGCTACACTTCCACTCCAACTCCCTGCTAACGTGCCTAAGAAAGTAGCAAAAGATGGTCCAAGTCCTTGGGCTTTCATCCCCATGGGAGACCCGGAAGAAGTTCCTCACTGCTGGCTTTGGCCTAGCCCCGCCTGGGCCCCTGCCGTCACCAGCAGCCAGAGTTAACCAGAGGATGGAGGACCTCTCTCTCATTGTAAGTCCACCTTTCAAGTCATAACTAAAAATATAATCTTTAAAAATAACTGTTATCTCCTAGGGCTCATTCTGCAGCATCCCCAGGTGAGATGAGGTGATGCCTATGGAGGAGGTGAGAACAGAAGCAAGTGAGATCACCCAGGCACGGATCCTGCTGCATCAGGGTGCATGAGATTCATGACATTCTGTGTGGGCTTTTCTGTAACAACACGTTTGCAGAGGAGCAACCAGGACCTTGGCTGCGTGGGATGACTCGTTTGACTCTCAGAGATGGAGAACAGAGTCGTGATGGACAGACAGGACTGCTACCAATACAGCAGCAGTCCTCAGCTACTGTACTGATGCTGTCATGAGCCAGCATACAGTCTCAGGTGAAGAGTGACGAGCCTCGCATGTGCTGGGTGCTGGGCATTGTGCCCCTGAGAGAGGCACAGGGGAGAGAAGTGCCCAGGGCCACACAGCTAGGGAGGAGGACAGGACACAGACCCGGGTGTACCTGCACCCGCTCTCTGAACTGTCTGGTGGCCTCTCAGCATCTTTCTTTCCCAAGACCCCCCAGGTGCTGGGCTGACTCCACAGTTGGGATATGAACTGGAGTGTTGGTCCAATCCCAAGGCTCCTCCTATTCTTCCAACTGGCGCAGGTTTTATAAGTAAAAGGAATATGGTTATTGCTTTTCTTTCTGATAAAATGCAAATACTGTATAAATGCATGAAGCAAGAGCAGAGCAACTTTAAGTGAGGACTCCTAGGCAGAGGGAGGTGAAGACCATTAGGGGGAGCCCTTCTCCGCCAAGATGAAGGGAGAAGATTCGGTGTTTCTGTAACTCGTGTCCCTGAGGGCCATCCTGGTTTTCATCTAGGCTAAATGCCAGCAGGGAACCCGGAACTCCACAGCCTGGGGCTCCGGTGCAATGGAAGACTGAGCACCTGCTTCAGATCACTGCTTCTTACTAACGCAAGCCCTGAACCTGGCGCCAACTTCTGTTTTTGCTCCCAGTGGACAGATCAGGCACTTTGGTCTTGGGAGTTAAACCATTCAGAATGCAGTCATTGGCAATGCTCCTGACAGCTCCTCCCATGGCTCCTGCGACAGGTGGTGAAGCACTGGTAGGAGCAGCTCCATGTGCATAACCTCAGAGACAACCTGATTTTTCTCTATGTACATATCCTTTTAAGATTATCGATGTGTTTGAGAGAGAATGAGAGACAGAAAGCAAGAGTTCCCACCCGCTGCTTCACTATCCAATGCCTGCAATGGCTAGGACTGGGGCTGTGTAAGGCCAAAAGCTACAGTCCAATCCAGGTCTCCCAGTCGGGTGTGGCAGGGACCCAACTTACTTGTCACTGCTGCCTCCAGGGTCTGCAATAGCAGATTAAAAATCAAACCCAGGTAATATGATGTGGAATATGGGCATCTTAATCAGGCTGCCCAGCATTTTCTTTCTAATAATATCCTTGATATTAAAATATATGTGAAGTTTCAACCAAAACATATATATAGCACGGTGGCCTAGCGGCTAAAGTCCTCGCCTTGAATGTGCTGGGATCCCATATGGACGCCGGTTCTAATCCCAGCAGCCCCACTTCCCATCCAGCTCCCTCCTTGTGGACTGGGAAAGCAGTCTAGGACAGCCCAAAGCCTTGGGACCCTGCACCTGCGTGGGAGACCTGGAGGAGCTCCTGGCTTCGGGTGGGCACAGCACCGGCTGTTGTGATCACTTGGCCAGTGAATCACTGGACGGAAGATCTTCCTCTCTGTCTCTCCTCCCCTCTGTGTTTCTGACTTTGCAATAAAAAATAAATAAATCTTTTTTAAAAATTAAAAGTAAATCTTTAAAAAAATATATTTAAATACAGCAGCACTACTCATGGCAGATCAAACTGGAAGCTACTCAAAGACCATCAGTGACAGAATAGATCAATAAACGAGTCCATTCACACAGCCTCACACTCCACAGCAAAGAAAACGAATCGACACAACCACCTCCAGCACCACAGAGGGTTTCACAGATATGGAGAGGGGAGCCCATGCTGAAGATTTCATTCAAACACAAAAGAACCTGCCAGTACTGGTTCTTCAAGGGTACTGAGACGGGGCACAGTACCCTTGGAGGGGAGCAAGTTGACGCTCTGTCCTGGGTGCAAGCAAGGGTTTGCCTCTTGACCCAGGCCCGGGGGGTTCCCTTAGAGAACAATCCGTCAGACTGCGCACTAACGAGATGCTTTTATATAATGCGTCAACAAAGCTGTCGGAAAACATGTGCCAGATTTTAAAAAGCAAGTCTATCTCTAGTGGTGTTCTCCAGTGGCTGGTGGCAGGGGAGTTTCACAGGAGACCCAGATGGCAATGACCAACCTCCCAGGGACACACCCTAAGGCCGGGCTCTTTCCTGGACCCCCAGCAGAGCCCGGCCCTTACCTATCTCTTCCTTGAGGTCGATTTCGGCTGTGGTAGGGTGGACGATGCCCTCCACTCTCATGGAACCGATATGGCTGATGTCGCTCTGGGTCAGGGACAGCTGTATTGGGAAGGAAAGATGGAGGACGCAAGAAGACAAAGCTCCATTGACATCTGGGTGTCTGACTCGCTTCCTCTGAGTTGACCAGGGCACTGGTCTCAACACTGCCAGCCCCTGAATTTTTTCTCTAGGCTCTCCTGAGTTCTGAGTGGGTGGGCTCATCCTCTTCCTGGAAGAGGTATCTCTAGAGATGAGCCTGGGGTTTGCTGCATGTGAGCTGCTCAGTTCCCTGCAGAGACCCCACAGTGGCCCAGAGCTCTAGCTGGCAGGGCAGCACTCAGAAGCCGATCACCTTGCTTGCAAGGACTAGCTTGGGAAATGCCAATGTTCATCATGAAGTGGAAGTAAGGCATTCTCAGTCACCACCCCCCCCCCCAAAGTAAGCAGGAACTTCTGACCCCTGGAGTAAGAGAATGCTACTTATTCCAGGACCGTGAGGGGGCCATGGGGAGCACGCACCACCTTTGTCTCCCCACTTGCTTTCATCAGCAACTCCCCAAGGCTCTGTTCTTGAGAAATGCTCTTCCCCCCTTTGCTTGAATGGAGGTCGACTCCATTGTTAGGGTGGCATAGCGGTACCCAGAGAGGTGAGTAACTGACTAGTGCTGTGTGGCCCTCACAGCCCCAGTTGCCTGGGTAGCTGTAGTCTTTACACTGTGGGGATGAATTTTTGGCATGTCTGGCTGGGCTGCTGTTGTGTTCCTGAGGACTGTTCAAATGTATGACCCCTCCGAGTTTTCTTTCTGCAGCCGGGGAGGGTGGGAAGACTGAGTTACTGGCAAGTAGATCATTGCTGACAGCAGGGATATCCAGAAACATATATTCTTGGCTTATTTCTCAGATAAATTATGTTCCAGTAAGATGGGGCTCTCAGAGAGGTTGTTTGAGAGGGTTAGAGATGGATTCTTTTCCCCCTTTGGGTAGATACAGCAATAACTGAGGCATGACAAATTCCCAGAAAAGCCAGTCATGTCATCCCAGCTGCTGACCAGCAAGAGTCCCTCTGCTTCCCTTTGGCTGATCAAGGGCAGTGAATAATACCAGCCTACTGCTTGTTCACCCTTCAGTATAGACACTGCCCCAGATCCTCAGCTGACAAATGCATAAACCAAGAATAGAATGAAAGTCCTCTTAGGGGAGCAAGGGATGAGGGACGAAGGCGATATAACTGCTTGTAAACAATAGGCGATAACTACATAACCATGTCGCACTGTGGCATATCACGGTCGCCGCATTACCTTCTGTCCCAGGACGAGGCTCTTAGAGGACAAGATGGTGAACCCATCCCCGGGCCCATCCTCTGACGTGGAATTTGAAGTTCCTTCTTTATCACTGTCCTTTGGTTTGGACTGTTGGTAGAAATCAGGAGAACAAAAGAGAAACCATCAGAAAGAAGCAACGTGGCTTAGCTCTTACAGGTGTGGCTGTCATGAGCCTAAACAGGAAAGGTGGCAGATAGGTATTCTGTTTGGCTGTTTCTCTTTGATCTGTATAGTGAGAGTGACAGCGAGAGCATGCAAGACAGAAAGAGAGAATCTTCCATAGTAACTGGAGTAGACCATAAGCCTGGAACTCCGTCTGGGTCTGCTCCATTGGTAGCCGGGATCCAAGCATTTGAGCCATCATCTCCTACCTCCGAGGATGAGCAGTAGCAGGGAGCTGGGTTAGAAGCAGTGCAGGCATGCAACCTCAAGTGCTCAGATACAAGATGTGGCTGTCCCAAACAGTACCTCAGCGCCGGGCCACAGCGCCTGCCTCTATGTCCCACTGTCCCCTGATACAGGGAAGCAAAGCACAGCAGCACGAGGGAAACAAAAGGTTACTGCTAAAAATGAGGGCTGGTAAAGGGGCACACGAGTTGCAATGGTTGAATGTTCCCTCGGAAATTTATGCTAAAATATCACTGCCACTGTGGCAGGACCTTTAAGAGGTGACAGCCCAGGGAAGCCATGAGCATGGGCATGGCTTTGCTCTAAAAGGGGGCTTGCTGTTGCCCCTACCCGCCCTGACTTCTGTTTATACTCCCTTGCCACTCGGTGCCCATGTCACCCGACACAGCAAGAAGGCCTCACCCCAGGGGACCTCTGATGCAGACCCTCCCAGCCTCCAGACCTGATCTTTGCAGAAAACACAGGCTCAGCTATCCTCACAGATCAGCAGAAAACGGACCCACACAGCCCTGGACGCAGGTGCGTGCTTCCCGCCCTTCCCGGTGCCTGCAGCTTATGCTGACAAGTAGCAGAGAAAGCGAGGTTATGGACAGGGCAATGCTCTTCCCTCATCTCCTCTGGGTTTTCCCTGAGGCACAGGGGAGTGGAGTGAACTCTCACGTGATGTTTCATGTTACCACACAGGTCTGGGGAATGAAAATGTCACAGTGTGTACAGCAGCTGTCTGTGCAGTCAGGGCAATTCTGTCTGTGCTGTTGGCTGCTCCTGAAGCCTTGAAATGTGACTTCTCAATGGGTAACTGCATTGACTTTTCATTCAAATGCCCATGGCCATGTGTGACTACTGGTGCTTGATGAACGTATCACTCCACAGGTGGTTCTCTGCATTGCAAGTGTCCCAGGCACCGGGAAGTCCTCTAGCTAAACACGGACCAGGGAGACCAGGGCTTGTCAAATACGTAACATGGAGCTCCCCAGAGAACCAAGAAGCAGGGTTCTAGACTCTTGTCTGGTGAACCCTTTGGGTTTGGAAATCTCAGACGTTGAGTGGCACTTTGGGCTCTAATCTCAAAGGCCCTGCCTCTGTTACGTACACTCCCGCCCTCCCTGCCCTGCCCCAAGCTGCACGGCCTTGCGTCTTGCAGGGATGACACTGGCTCTCTCCATATCGTCACCTGGCTAAGCTTTGCTCTTCCTCTGTGGGTTCCAGCTACTGTGACAAAGTGTCAGAGATGTAAGTCTGTCTGGGACATCCTGAGACCTAGGCAGGTGCTGGCAGAGTTTTGCTGGCGCCCCTAAGCAGTGTGCTCCCCAGGAGGCAGAAGGTCTGGCTCTATTCCTGCTTCTGAGGGATCTGTTCTTAGGGCTTAATCCCTGTCCCCACACCTCGCCTCCCAACGCCAGTCCCTGGGCTGCGGTGTTAGTAACATGAATTATTTTTTGTGGTGAATGCAAAGCATCGGAGCACAGCAGTGGGTGCGTGGCGTGGGTGTGCAGCTGAAACTCACCTTTTTGGACGTGCGTGGTTTGGCGGCCTTGGATTTCTTGCCGCCCTTCTTGCCAGACGAGGCCTTCCTTCCTCTTTTCTCTGGGGGTGGGGAGAGGATGGTTTCCGACTTGCCTTTGGTCCCTCGCTTTTTGGCCAGCAGTTCGGGGTGAATTCTGGGCAGGACCCCTCCACTGGCAATGGTTACCCCCTTCAGCAGCTGAAGAGAGAATAGAGTAAACTCAGAGTGTGTTGCTTCTGGAAATTTTTTTTAAAAGGTTTATTTATATTTATTGGAAGGGCAGATTTACAGATAGAGAGAGAGAGAGAGCGATCTATCCGCTGGTTCACTCCCCAAATGGCCACAACAACCAAAGCTGAGCTGATCTGATTGAAACCAGGAGTCTCCTCTGAGTCTCCCACAAGGTTACAGGGGCCCAAGGATTTGGGCTATCCTCCACCGCTTTTCCAGGTCATAAGCAGGGAGTTGGAGACGAAGTGGAGCAGCCGAGACTAGAGCAGACACCCATACAGGACACCAGCACAGCAAGGCGGAGGAGTAGCCAGCTCCCACTTCTGGAATTGTTGCAGGTCTGTCGATGAAACAAGCCATTTAGCTAGCTTCCTGCTTTGGCCTGTAGAGTGCTTCTTTGTAGGAATTGAAGCACCCCACAATCTCATAAAGAAAGCAAAACAAAACAAAGCAAAATAAAACTGTGACACAAGTTGAACTGGGGATGTTGCCTAGAGCTCTGGCATTCCAGACGCAACAGAGTCCGAATAACTTCATAGGGAGGGGGCCTCAGCTGGACAGAATCAGGCTCACAGGTCAGGGCCTGAGCAGAGTGAGGCAGGAATCCCCACTCTTAACCATACACACCCCAGTCCGTGCATGTTTAGTTGTAAATGATCGCCATGTAGGACTGAATGAGTATATCGTGCAAGCCTTGGAGCAGCACCATTCTAAGAATGACATTTGTCCACAAATGTCAGTTTTTTGTCAGTTACCTGTTTGTGAACACAGGAGTTTAGAACTGGTGAGTAAAAGTCTAGAAACATCTACAGCCAATTGCTTCCTGCTTCCTGCACATCCTGGGAGGCTGCAGGTGCCTGGGTCCCTGCCTCCCATGGGGGAGACACACACTGGAATCCTGGATCCTGGCTTAGGGCTAGTCCAGCCCTGAGTGTTGCAGACATTTGTGGAGGGAACCAGTGAATGGAAAATCTTTGTCTTGCTTTCAAATTAAAAAAAAAAAAAAGAATAATTAAAACAAGAACAGCAACTTAGAAAGAAAATAGTTATTGAATAGCTATTGAATTTGATAACAAAATTTAGGGTTTGTAGCTTATATGTCATTGGATTTCTTTTTTTAGTAATTAATTTCCAACACAGTTTTTGACATTGGTTTATAATGGATTGGCAAGATTGGCAATAGCAGCTTTTTCACTACTGTTTGGGATGGGTGAGAGTAAGGAGGGAGACTACAGGGTGCACGGAACCTACAGGCAGAGCCTGAAACTGAACAGCAGACGCAGTGCGCATTTTGCTCAGGTCCAGCCTGAATGTCTTGGTGTGAACATGACCATTGCTGGGATGGTTGGTGGACAACCGTGTCCACCTGCAGTGCTGTGCTTGGCAAGCCCATCCCGTGGCCAGCTCGAGCCTCCAGCCGTACCTGGTTGAGCTCCTCATCATTGGCCACGGCCAGTAGGATGTGTCTCGGTGCTATCCTGGCCTTCTTGTTGTCCCTTGCTGCGTTCCCGGCCAGCTCCAAGATCTCCGCTGAAACAACAAGGGAGCGTTAGCGGGGAACCACAGAGTGGAATCGGAGCTCGTTAGATGTGGTCTTTGAGTTTGACCTCATTTATTCATGCACAAGTTTAACCCTTGGATCTGGAAAGTTGTCAGATTTGATATGGGATACTAGAGCAAAGTCTTCTTGTCCCTGCTGTCCATACTCTCTCTTCCTTAATAGATGGGTTTGACACTTTTGACTGAACCCACAGCCACAGGAACAGAGGCCATATTCCCCACAGTCCCTTGTTAATAATCCTTTGTTAATAAGTGTGGTCATGTGACTCCATTCTGGCCAATAGAAGGCAGGCAGTTGTGTGGGGAGAATTATCCATGAAGGGTTGTGTCTTCTTCCCTTTCTGTTGGTGGATGGAGGACCCAACAAGCTGGCATTTGGGCAGCCATCTTTGACCAAGAAGAAGCTGTGGAAGAGAGCAGTAAGAGGGAGGGAACTGAATTCCACTACCAATCTGGTCTGACTTTTCATATGAGAGTGCAGTAAGCTCTCTTGTTTAAACCAACATTAGCAGAAGTAAATCCTGACCATACAGAATCTTAGCCCAGGCCCTGCCTTGTTCAGTCTACAGAGAGCAAGGCCAGCTGTGGAGAGAATAGAGATGTGGGTAAAAGCTCTCACTGGGATTCCACTGGAATCTCCTGCAGACTATCCCTGGATCGTCCTCTGGATGCCCCGGGTTCCTCATATCCCAAGCAAGAACATGCCCACAAGACCAGGGGGCTCCCAAATGCCCTTCAGGACACAAGCACAGCCCTGGCTTGGATGAGCAAACATGAAAACGTCGGTGAAAATGAATGTTCTCTATAGCAGTTTCACAGGCTGTCAACATATTGGGTCCAAGTCACAAAAGCCTGTAAAATTGGTTTAGACTCTGGACACATGTTTCCGTTTCCTCCTCTGTCTCATTTTGTTATTTTTCCTGCTCTCTCTACTTTGGAAGGATGTTCTGCTAGATTAAATTTATGTGCCTTCAAAGTATGAATGAGCCCTTAAAGAAAAATTCCTTTCCCTTGGAAATCTGCTCCTCTGTGTTGCTTCCCTGATAATGGGGGTGGGGGCAGTATGAGTGTGTGTGAGTGTGTGTGTGTGTGTGGATGTGTTGGGATCTGCCAGTACAATGCATAAATACTAAAATAAACAGGCAACTCTGTAGGAGTCTTTACAATCAACCTCATTTCAAATAAAATAGCCCATGAAATTGCCATCATTCACGAAATCGATGGCAATAATAAAAACTTGGCATAAGTATGCCATATTAACTAAGCAAATGTGATTAACGAAAAATTAGAATAAAATAAACATTAGAGTTAAATATTTATACGGCATTTCCATAATGAAAAGTGCTAAATCACTGCAGATTCATTCTCATGTCTTCTCAGATGATTAAGCAACAACTATTGTGTTCACCAACAATTCGTTTCTACATGCTCATGTTTTCTGAATCAAAAACTGGGACACTGCTATTTGAGAGCTCTGAACACACAAGATGGGACAAGGGGACAGGGGACTTGAAGTTGATATCTTAATAGGTCATGTGTTTGGCTACATTCTGGTTGTTGCCCCTCCTTTTTCTGTCTTACAAATGATAGTCATTAGTACCAGCGCTGTAGTATAGTCAGTTAAACCTCTACCTGTGGTGCCAGGAACTCACGTGGGCACCAGTTTGAGTCTCGGCTGCTCTGCTTCCCATTCAGGTCCCTGCTGATGTGCCTGGGAAGGCAATGAAAGAATGCTCACGTCCTTGGGCCCTTGCATCCACGTGGGAGTCCCAAGATCTGCCTTTCAGATAAAAATAAGCAAATCTTTTATTTTTAAAAGACTTATTTATTTTTAATGGAAACAGAGATCTACAGAGTCACAAAGAGTCACTTACCAAATGGCTACAACAGCCACAGTTTAGCTGGTCCTAAGCCAGGGTTTTTTTCGGGGTCTCCCATGTGCGTGGAACGTGGGCCATTCTCTACTGCATTCCTAGGTTATAATCAGGGAGCTGTTTAAGAAGTGGAGTGGCTGGGTTATGAACTGGTGTCCATGTGGATGCTGGTGCCACAGGTAGAAGCTTAGCTTACTATGCTGGGCATAACGGGTGCCAGTTCGAGTGCTGGCTGCTCCATTTTCAATCCAACTCCCTGCTAATGGACCTGGGAAATCACCAGAGGATGGCCTAAGTTCTTGGGCTCCTGCACTAACATGTGGGACTTTGAAGAAGCTCCTGGCTCCTGGCTTCGGTTTGCCTCAGTACTGGCCCTTGTGGGTATTTGGCCATTGAGTCAGTGGATGAAAAATTTCTGTCTCTGTATTTCTTTGTAGTTCTGCCTTTTAAATAAGTAAATCTTCCTCTTCTTCTTCTTCTTCTCCTCCTCCTCCTCCTTCTTTTAAGATAAAAACTTGCTAATAACACAGCAGAAAATCTACAGCACATACTTCCTGTGTCCTGAATGTTTAGTTTCGACATCCTTGGTACACGGACACCACCATTTAAAGCCTGAAATAGTGTTAATTATCAATAGTGATCTCAAATGGCACTGTGGCAAGGGACATTCTCATGAATTACAAAAGTTTGCCTTAGTGGGGAGGGGTGTCCTCTCTCTCTCTCCATGGGTACAAGATGAAAGTGGAAACATCTCTCCCACACTTCCCCTTTCTGCCCACTGCATCCCTGAAAGTGTTTATGTGATTTCCTCATCCTTCAAATAAACTTAACAAAAAAGTTTGCTTCATTCCTCCGTGATTTTATTAATCCCGGGGTCTAAAGCATCCTGACGTTGGCAATCAATGGGAAGTTGGATTCACGCTGCTGCACACATAGGATTCCCTGCACATCGCAAAGGAAGATTGTTACTTGCCAAGTGATTGAGACTTCCAGGCAAGTCCGCAGACGTCTACAGCACCTCCAGAGGTCCTGGAAGTCTCAGCTTCACAAGGGCAACTTTGCGGAGCACAGCTGAGTCTGCCTGTTACCTGTTGCAAATTCAAGGTCTGTTCCAAAGCAGGCACCTGTCAAGATTGATCTCATGAATGAGAATGACATGTGGAGTGTGGCAGAAGGCTCCACACTGCAAATCCCTATACATATCTTCTTCGAAAGCCACCCAAACAAGAAGCACCCATTACACTTAATCCACTTGGGGTGGGGGGGCTGGCTATCTCTGGATTAAAATTCTTTATCTCATTAAAATGCAAATGCAGCTGAAAATATACTACCTTATGGGAATTAGTCACTTATACTTTGTCCTGAATGAGTTTATCAACTTAGTGGAAGGTGAGAACAAATGACTGCTATGTACCCTGTGTTTTCCAGACTTTGGCTCTCTTTATTAAGCTGAAGGAGCCATCTCTGAAATTGCCTGAAGCTCAAAGAGACCGAAGAAACACAGCAGTTAAATGCTGATGATGCTGGACATGAAAGCCAGGGCTCTCCACTCCATACTGAGCGGGGCAAAGGAGACGACATGGAGGGTAGGCCTGGGGCTCCCACGACAGACTCCACCTCTTTCAGGTGACCCGGATCTGCTACATGCTGGAACCAACCTGGGGGAGGATGGTGACTGGCCATGTTGTCCATCTCGCCTTCTTACAGTTCACATCAACCCATCACAGGCATGTTAAGTAGGGTGCAGGAGGACCGAGAGGGACTGGAATCACGAGTGTATAGAGATGGGGAAGATGGCTCTTGCAAGATGTCATTTATTATCACCTTATTTAAGAACAGATCTGCTGGCTTACTCCCAAAATGCCTGTAGCAGCTGATGCTGGTCCAGGCTAAAGCCAGGAGCTGGGCACTTCATCCAGGTTCCCCATGTAGATGGCAGGGATCCATGTGCCCGAGCCATCACCTGCTGCCTCCCATAGTCAATGTTAACAGGAAGTTGGTTCAGAAGCAGCCGAACTGGGACCTGACAGGCACTCAGGTATGGGATGTGCCATACCAAGCGGCAACCTGACTGCTGAGCGAAACATCTGCCCAGGAGATGACTCCTGAGACAGGCAGGAGGGCAGAGGAGCCTGGGAAGTGTGCCGCTTGGATCAGGGAGATTATTATATACATGTCAGGAAAAGTATCCCTGACATCATCAAGTCTAGATTCTGTTTAACTACAAGAGAATAACAAAAAGCTAGATAGAAAGTCACTTGAATATGTAAATGGGGACAGGCAAGTTTAACCTAGTGGGTAAGACACCTGCTCCCACATCAGAGTCCCTGGGTTCAAGTCCCAGTCCCTGCTCCCGACTCCCGCTGCCGGTTGAAGTGTGTGCTGGGAGGCAGTAGATGAGGGTCAAGTAACTGAGTCTCTGCCCCCATGTGGGAGACCAGGATGGAGTTCCTGGCTCCCAGCTTCAGCTCAGCCTGCTCTTGGCTGGTGTGGACACCAGGGGAGTGAATCAACAAGTAGGAGTTCTCTTTTCTCTCTGCTTCTCAAGTAAACAAATGCAAAACAAAAGGAAAAGGAAAACTCTTCTCTTTCAGTTAAAAAAGACAAATATGGAAATACCTGTGTGCCCACAGTAGCTGGTCAGAGCGAGTGAGGGCAGCATACTGGTGTTGTGGAACAGTAGGCACACACCAGGAGTAAGCTGGGGTTGGAACCCCTTTACAGAATGAATATAACGCCCTCACCCCCAATAGTGAGATGCATCTGCTAGTGGACCACAGGTCCTTCCTGGGCCCTCCTCTTGGTCTTGGCCGCACAGGCCAGATGACAGCCACCATCCCCACAGCAGGCTGGGCTGGCCCATGTGGGGCTGCCTTACCTGCCAGGTACTCGATGACGGCGGCCATATAGACGGGTGCTCCCACGCTAATCCGGTACTTGAAAGTCCCTTTCTTCAGGTAGCGCATCAGCCTCCCGACGGGGAAAATGACTCCCGCCCTGGCTGAACGGGACAGCTTGGACATTTTCTTCTTTCCACTCCGGCCCGACATCGTGCCTCACTTTCTCTCTCAGCTTGCTGACACGCGGCCCTCCTGGTAAGAACACAGTGCTGAAAAGGAAGAAAAGCAGAGTTGAGGCAGGGTGGCAGGCAAGCACCTTGGACACAGGGTATTGAGGTGACACACATGATAGCCACCACAGGGAGCTGGGCATCTTCCAGGGGCACCGGCAAACCACCATCAAGCATCCCTTCCACTGCAAGCCAGTTCGACTCCATGAGGATGGGTCAAAGAAGCTGTTGCTCAAGAGAGAAATGGGTAATGACAAGATGGAGAATGTGAAGAGAAACACGAGGGACGAGCTTACTCATAAAATGCATGCCTACCAGGAAACAGACACAAAACTGAGATTGACTTCATCAGGGTGAGAACCCCATTTCCTAATGGGTCTGACAGCTCCAGAGTGATGAGGGATGTAACACCATGAAGTTAGCCACAGACTCCATTCCCACCATTCCTGTCTCCAAGGTGAAGGAGGCCACTGTGGGACGTTCTGTTACATCCTGCCCATACATGGCTTTTAAAGACTCAGATGCACTACATCTCTGCTTGGATATCGATCAAGGTCAAGTACAACCAGGAGTGGGGGTGCGGCTAAGCTCCCACACCGAAGCACCTGGATTTGACCTCGGGATCCAGTTCCTGAGCAGCTTGCTGTTAAGGCTGATGCTGGGAGAGACAGCAGTTATCTTTAAGTGATTCTTCCTGTCCCCTCATGGGGAAGCCCTGAGTGTGTTCCTGGCTCCCAGCTGTGGTCCCTGGCCAGTGTGGGTATTTGGGAAGTGACAAGGAGATGGGCGTGCTCTCTCCGTCTCTCTGTCTTGTCTCTGTACCTTGATCTCTCTCTCTCTCTTTCATTTTATTGTTATTTTATGATACGGTTCCATAGGCTGTTACCCCCCCCCACAATGATTTCCCCTTTTATTACAACAGTATAGTTCTTCATATACTTTGATTTCTCTTTAAAAAATGACACAAAAGATAGAATGTTACCTTTTTGGTGGTGGCATAGAATAACATCACTGTGTTTAAATTTCCACATTTCTGCTTCTGCCTTCTGAGGCTGTTCCCTGTCTTAACTTCACACCCAGACACATCGCCTTGTAGTAAGCAAGTAACTTTACTCGGAGTTAATCCATCAGTAAGTATAGAAAGACTTCAAAAATTGCGAAAAATGCTATTATGAGATAAGTTTATGTTGGTGCAAGGAGACCGTTGAAATCTAGTCTTTTTCATAGTATATATAAAAAAATCTATGCATAGATTGAAAAAAATGTTTTGCCCCAAATTAAACTTGTCTCTCTTTTTAAAGATTTATTTTTTTAAACCTTTGTCAGTTAAAGATAATTACTATTGTTAAATATTGATCTTCCATTCACTGTTTCACTCCTCAAATGGCCATAATAGCTGGAGCTAAGCCGACCCGAAGCCAGGAGCCAGAAGCTTCTTCCAGGCCTCCCACGTGGGTGCAGGGTCCCAAGGCCTTGGGCCATCTTCCACCATTTTCCCAGGCTATACACAGGCAGCTGGAAGGGAAGTGGAACAGCTGGGGCACAAACTGGCACCCTCATGGGATGTTGGAACTTGCAAGGTGAGGAGTTTGCTATTAAGCCATCGTGCCATGCTCTAAATGTCTTAGTTCCATTTCCCAGGTTTTCTAAGGCATCCCAGTGTGGAGTGTCTGCTGTTGGTCTCTACTGCCCCTGGGGACAGGGGACACTCACTGTGATGTTGAATGGCCCTGTCCCTGCACTGCATGTTTGCTGGTGGGGTGCTGCTCTTCAAAAACGGAGGTGGTCCTTGGCAGAGCAAACGGCACCCAGGACTGGAGTAGAAGGCCGGGGTGCAGCCCCACTGCTGTGTAGCATGTTATACAAGCTCCGCCTGTTGCACATCACGTACTCTGGCCTAGGCCTCATCTGCAAAGCAGGGAAGGTGGCTAATTGATTCTCAAGGTCCTTGGGGTCTTAATCACACTAATTTTCCTGAAATGTACTTCCAAATGGGTTTGCAAAAGAAGCTTAGTCTCTTTAAAAAATCAGTTCTAGAGAGTCAAGAGCCTAGGCAGGTCCACAAGGATGTATTAGTGACTCCACTAAGCCAATTATGTGCTTTTTTTTTTTTTCCAGTGATGGGTAGGTGGAGGGGGATTAGAAGTCTGGTTGTCAAGGAAACTGCATGAAAAGCCCACGACTAGGTGGACATGGCTGATGGATATGGTGTGTGGTGGGTGGATAAGGTCATAGTGTCTCCTTACCCTTCTCCCACCAGAGAAGGACGCACAAAGAACAAATGTCATGGGGGTGGGAACATCCCTCCCATACCCAGGTGCACACCCACAGCACATGCAGGCACACACACCTGCCTTCAACCAAAACAGGGTACGACTGGGGGTCAGGATAAAGCCGCTTGGGATCTTCTCCAATATACAAGCCACAGGGAGTCACAAATTGTCCTAAAAATAGGAAATTTGGGTGAGTAACGGAAGAAAAGCAAATAACATGAGGGGTACTGGTGCCTAGAACATCATGAGGGCATTGTGCCAAGGGGGGACCGGGTAGAGACACACTTTTATGCAAATGGCAAACAGGTATAGGGATCACCCAAGGACTTTATGGCAAGACCTTCTGTGGCTTCCAGACTCCCCTCCAGGTTAGAGCTTTGGCCAGGGCTCAGGGATGCTGCTCCAGGGGAAGACAACTAACCTAGGAGTGTGTTTGAGTGGGCCTGGCGAGCACGCTGTGTGTCTGGGGACCATCGCTTCAGGCAGCACACTGGCTGGAAGCAGCCGGACACTTGACTTCCTCAAGAGTCAGATCACAGCCAGTAATCCCCAGAAGATACTGTCCTGCCCACAGTATCCACAGAGGGAGGGAAGCGCTGTCTGTCGGACCCACGCGCGACAGAAGACCCTACTTTCCAAGAGCAGCCCCCTCTCTCCCCGCCCCAAGCCTGTGCTGGCTCCACCTAGCGTTAGATGAACGCTGTAGCCTCTAGCTTCCTGTGCCAGTGTGGAGTCTTGGGAAGGCAGGGGTTAAAAGCTTGCCGGTTTCTTATCCACATTCTGAGAAAAGAAACCTCTCCACAAGCAAATACATTTCCATCCCCTGAATGCTGAAATGTGTATGCGTGTTAACCTGTTTGATCGGGGCGGGGCTGATGTCTGTTTGCAAGTTTGAAGTATGGCTGGAAGATGCACTTAGCACCCTCACACTCATTCCTTCTCCAGGCTACCCTTAGAGAACTAGAACAAGCCCAGATCTGCATCACAGGAGAAAGTTCTAGGCAGAGAGAATCAGAGCTGCTAGTTCAAGGGCAGGCCGCACAGCAGTGGCAGGCGTGCTGCGGAGGAGGGTGTATTGTGTCTCTGTTGTTTTAGGATTTATTCTTAGGATCAGGCTTCAAGCCCATAAAGACACTGACGAGTTAGATTTTATAGATAACACAGGGTAAATATTAAATTACAGCAGTGACTCAGACATGGGTGATAAACTCACACCACCCTATCCAAATAACTACTGTATTTCACTGGTTTTACGATGCACTTAAAAAAAAATTTTTACTATCTCTGGAAATTGGTATACATCTTACAGTCAATGGCACCATGTACTCAATGAAAGACAGCTTTATGGGGTATTATCGAACAAGAAGCCACTTTACATGTTATGGAATAGCCATGGCCCTTGACCTCAAATATTTTCCAGTAGTGTTGTATTGGAAAATAAACACACCATAATGGTCATAATAATTCAAAATTAAGTTTGAAAGAGATGTGAGAGTCATGGTTCCCAAACTGGGCACCAAGGCATCCTGGGGCACAGCCACTTTTTAAGTGTTTAAGCTTTCACAACAAATACGGGGTCCCCGGACTTCTACTGGACCCCAACTCCCAGCCTATGCTGGCTCATGGTTCCAAACGATTTCACTACATTCCGCTTGATGAGGCTGCATCTTTGCAAAGCTGGGTTTTTGGGAGGTGCTGCGATTAAAAGCAAACAGTGGGTGCGAATCAACATGGAACAGAGAATGGGAGTGTCTGAGTCCCAGCAGGTGTGCACATCTTACCTGTAACTCAGTGTGATAACTTGAGTGGCATGCAAATATTCTGTTTGCTTTCAGTTCACGTGTATTCGTTTTTCAAACTGCAAACTAAATACATATGAAGTTCATACTTATGAAGTTGCTCGGACCTTTAGTAAACAGGACCCAATGAACATCTCTTCTGGCCTTACGACACGTAGGACACATGACTGAAACAAACAGGGACTGTGAACTGACCAGGTTTGGGGATGTACATCAGAACACGCCTCTGTAAGTGCAAACACAGACTATATCCTGCTCAAGGTCTCCTTGAAGCCAGGAAAAGAAGAGTTGAGATTCTTTTAAACATCTGAGATGATTATACTGTTAAGTACTTGCACAGAGTCAAGGAAGGGGTCAAGTGAAGGTGGTCATCTCCTATGCCCCTCCTTCCACCCCCAGGGCCATTTCCAGAGGCGAGCTCACGTGCTGAGCCTGACTGCTCCAGACCCCCGGGTATGAACCTCCGCAAGACCCTTGTTCCTTTTAGGTGAGGAGGTCTTGTTCCGTCTTGCCTGTCTAGAAGGACGGGAGGAAGAGAACTTCGCTGCTCCTTCCTTTTCTCACTGGTGACAGTTAAAGCTTCACTTTTATTCCTCCCTCCGATTGCCTCAGAAACTTTAAATAACATGATAGTCTTTATTCCTGCCTCCTCCAATTTGGGCAACATCATTCATGGCACCATCACATAGGATGAAAATGAGTGTGTAGATTTCACCCCAATCCTTTGCCCCTGGCTTCGCACCCCTGCTTTTACCACCCATACTTTTAATTGTCTCAGCTCATAGCACTTTACGTTTTGCTCCATCATTAGAACTTTTTGTCTTCAGGAATATTTTGAGAATGTGAGGAAATCCCCAGGCTTGTTCTGCCTGTATGCACGTGAGCACCCAGGTCCTTGCATGCCCCCGCCGATGTCATCCTCCAAGCCCCCTGTAAGCCAGCACTCCGTGGTCCCCATGAGCATGCC